CAAATCGCGTGTTGTTGACAAGTTTTTCCACAAGTTTCCCGATGGATATGTTGACATCGGGAAATGAGTTTCTTCTGCGCACTGAGGATCTCATTGAAATTCAATGCATTATAAGAAGCTCGGACTTTTAAAATCTAGATGTGCATATACGTCGTTGCTGAACTCGATGACGGCTTCGAAAATATACAAAATCAGGAGAAAACAATGATAACGGAACCAGCGTAATGAAACTCCTGGCCACTATATGGTCTTCATACTGACAACAGACATACTTTTAGTATTCGTACGGCCGTACAGCACTTTAATTTTGTGCGCGCAAAAATGTTCATCATTTGATTCAACTCTTCCTTTATTTCCTCGGGGCATAATAAACAGCTGGCTCCGAAGCGTCGTTGCTGAAAACAGTGACGTGGTGACGAGGGGATATCTCTGCAATTATCATATGTATTGTAATTATGAAAATGCGATGGGTCACAGAGCCACTGGGCACTTTCATTGCTTTCTTATAAGAACCGAGTTATTCGTTTAACTTTAAAGTGAATAGATATAATATTAAATGGATGAACTTTTGCGTATAGACGCATGCGGAAGATAGAAATAACAGCACATGCTGTTTTAGAAGAGCTGAAGAAATTTTATGCCGAAGAAATTTTACCTTCGTAATCTATGATGCTTCTATCTTGACTAATTCTGAAGAAATACAATTTCAGTGCAGTACAGCACCGATAATAGTTTGAGGGATTTGGAATGCATCATGCTCTGGGTCCCTCATCTTAACGCAACCAAAGTATTCCTAGACTGCATTTTATCATGATTTTTTTCTTCACATGTGAAGCATGATGTCTCTCAAGTTACAGTTGAAGAATATTTAAACTGTCTAGGCCTTACAGGAATACTGCAATGCACCTGAAAACTGCTTATTTTTGCATGAAGTATAGCGTAAAATTTAAATTTAAAATTTATTAGTGTGCAATTGAAATAATCGTTCATTGATTAGTATAAAGAATTAACTGAAGTTAATGACCGCATATTATTCATGAAAACGAACTTCTGCATATAGCAAGTAAAGTACATGTTCGTACTCGTTCGATCGTCCATAACGTCAGAAACGCTGTTCGAAGTGAAAGAGCGACATCAATGTTAGAAAATCATAATCACTTTGCTTCGAAATGTTTGACCAATTCTCCCATCCGCTTTTTCCACGATGTAGGTTCGGGATCTTGGACGCACAAAAATCATGCGGTAAGAGGTTATTCGTCGCTGCAAAATGTTCGTGTAATTTGTGTGATGATGAGGGAATGTATCGAAAAAGTCTTCGTTCAGCGTGGGCTTAGTATCAGATTGATGTGTGTGCAATGTGACCATCCAATTAGGAGGGTGTATCGGTCGATACCCCGTACGGAATCAGACGCGAAAGTTGGGAGCTCGAAACTTACATTAATAGCATTTCACTTAATTGGTTTGAAATATCTTCGCAGACTTTTATTGTGACGTTTTATGCCTAGTGAGCGTTACAGCTTCGATATAAGTTCAGCCTCTTTCGCATTAATTAAGTGATGTCGAAGGAAATGTTTTACATGAGCGGATCTCCGTGAGGCGAAGTGTCGGTCTAGTCCACGTGCTTTTAGTTATTGGATTATCGATTAGTTTTGTTGTTGAAAGTGATAGCTAGTTATATTTTCAGGATATTGAAATTTCTTGCATTCTTCAGTTGCTAATAAATCGATAATGGCACCGTCTACTGAAGTGAGACCACCTCCAGCTGTTGAGAAGAAACCGGCCACTGATCCGAAAAAGGAAAAGGAAGCAAAGAAGGCTGAAGATGATCTGGTATATTCTTGAATTATGAATGATACAATTCTTCTTCGTCATTTGAAATATTGTTGGAATTTTCAGAGTGAAGAAGATAAGCAGTTACGTGATGAGCTAACCATGCTCGTCGAGCGTTTGTCAGTGAGTAACTTCAATTCCTCATGAGATGTTTTGAGTCGTTTCATGATGAAATATCTTCAGGAAAATGACACGTCATTGTATATGCCGTCTTTGGAAACCATGCGAACTTTAATTCGTGCATCGACCACATCGATGACCTCCGTTCCTAAGCCTTTGAAGGTAAAGTGCTGGTCAGTAACCTGTTTTCTGATTATGACGGAGTCTGTTCCATTTTAGTTCATGAGAGTTCATTTTGACGCAATGAAAAAGATCCACGAGAAGATCACCGATGATGCCACCAAGAAATTCTGCGCTGACATAATCTCGGTTCTGTCAATGACTATGAGCGAAAAGCGGGAATGCCTCGGATACAAGCTTAACGGATCAAACGAGCCCATCGATCAATGGGGCCATGAATACGTCAGGTACAGAAGTTGTAATTCACTGCTCTCTATTCCGCGTGTAAAACAATTTTTATTCAACAGGCATCTTGCTGGTGAAATCGCAGCAGAGTGGGGCGAAATCCCTGAAAACGATTCAAAAAAAGAGAAGCTCTTGTCCTTGACGAACGAAGTTGTTCCTTACCATCTGCAGCACAATGCTGAGGCAGAAGCTTGTGATCTGGCCATGGAAATCGAAAGGCTCGATGTAATCGAGAAGTACATTGACAATGCCACATATCCTCGCGTTTGCTTGTATTTGACAAGGTAATGTTC